AACTGGGCCCCTGTGCTTTTCCCTCTTACCATATTATGCTGAAATGGTCTGTTTATGGCTTCATCTCCACAAAAGACACTAAGCTTCAAGCTCTCCAAGGGCAAAGACTGCATGCTCCAGGCCAGACCCCAATACCTACTTTGTTGAATTCAGGGAATATCTGACTCCCTGTATTTATCACAATGTTAAAGCACAGCAGATAGACCTGAATAAACAATGAATAAATGGAATATTCTATTGGCTAAAATCCAGTTCTGAATCAACACACTGATGCTCGCTACTTATACCCGTATCTGATGCCAAAATATTTGTATGACATATACAAATGGCAAGTAGACATTTATTTCTGACATGTATAGAATAAAACATTACTAAGAATAGGATTGTGATACAAACAAACACTGATAAGTCAAATTTCCAGAAGTTGGGACTAGCACCTTTGAGTTAGAAGCATTTGCTTTGGAGTCAAAAAATAAGTTTAAATCCTAGCTTCAGAGCTTGCAAGTGGAAGTGGCCTGCTATTTTTATGCACTGAGTTTGAAAGGTAGTTTAAATAAGAAAGCTCCTGGAAAAAATAAAATAGTCTACTGACACTTTAGTATATTCACCACGTAAAGTTTAAAGATGGCAAGTAGGTTAAAGTCATTCTAAAATCATTTCGTGGAGAAAATATATTTAAACACTTATAGACAAAATTATAAAGTGCCTGGTATTTTAAAAGAATGTACAGTGAATACAGCAATCACTGCAGAGTCAGGAAGTCTAGTGGTAACCAACCTATGATTTGCAGTATTTGTAAAATTTTTTAAAAAACTGTTTGAAAGTGTAACATTTTCTTTTTCCCTTATTTTTTTAACTGCTATATAAACCATATTACAAGATGATTCCAAAATGCTTTGTCATTATCTATACTCGAACTTTTAAGTCGCTGGCCTAATGTAGCCCTTTCATAAAACACAATTCGATTTGGCCTCCTTATTGGCAATGCCATATAGCTGGGCATACTGAATCAATATTATTACATATAAAATCCCGAGTATCTTAATTTTAATGTCTTTTATAATTACCTTGATCAAATCTGATTTGTATAAATTTAAAGAAACTCTGATAGAAATTCGCATCTTCCACTTTCCAAGTTCTCGAGTTAAAGGGGCCTCGGCCATACCAGAGCTTCCCATTTTAGCCTCCTAAAATTGGACGCACATTTAGAAAAGGCTCTTAGCTCCCTTACTACCTCATATGCTTTAAAAAAGTAATGTACAGAAATACTTGTATTAATATTTTCTTAGGTTGCTCGAAAGTTTTGTAGTAAAGCCCTAAGCTTTGTGTATAATCTTACTGATGTATTCTTCACCTAACTTTTGATCTATACGTGATCTTACAGTTTTAATTCTGGAGCTCTTCCAAGAGAGCTTTAAGTTATTTTGTTATTTTAAGCCTAAAATAAACCAAAATTTTAAAAAGCATTATCGTCTTATAGATTATGCAGGTAAGATACCAGAAAAGTATAAAATCTTATTCGTTCTTATTCAATATAAAAAGATGAAAATAATGTTGTTTTACATATAATCATACACACACGTTCACACACATACAGATTGAGCCTCATAACCTAAACATCTCTTTCAAGTCCTCGTTTTACGATGAAGAGGAACCGTTTGTTTTTCACTCAAACCCACATATTTAAATTCAAATATTACTCTTTTTAAAAAGTATGCCTCCTTTCTGGTCAGTTCCTAAAACATAGGAAGCTGTTAAATATGCTTTGGGGCAATGATACGCCCTTTTGATGCCCCAAATTCTGAAATTCTAGCCAGACCAGATTCCAGCCTGCTCCCAATAAATCGTGTTCCAGTTCATTTCCCTCTATCTGATGTCCTCCTTCTCCATATCATATATATGCACCTTAAACGTTCGAGCCTCTTGCTGGGGACGGAGAGGGGAGGAGGAGAGATTGGTCAGTGAGTACAACATTACAGATAGATAGGAGGAGTAAGTTCTGTTGTTCTATTGCACAGTAGAGCGACAACAGTTAACAATATTGTATTGTATATTTCAAAATAACTAGAAGAGAGGATTTTGAATGTTCTCACCACAAAGAAATGGTAAACGTTTTTGAGGTGATGGATAAGCTGTTTACCCTGATTTGATCATTACACAATGTACACATGTATTGAAATCTCACATTGCACCCCATAAACATGCACAGTTATTATGTGCCAGTTAAAATAAAAAAAAAAAAAATCAAGCCTCTCATTTTCTATGAGGACTGTTGCAGCTCTACTAGTATCTTTCTCCTGAACTCTGGATGTTCAGAACTTCTAATAATGTGTAATCATGTTGGTTTCTGTTTCTTTTTACTTTTTCCCGTCCTCACACCCCAATCTAAGAGCTATGAGAACGACGCTAAGAGAACAGGGGCTGTATTGTCTTCTTTACTGTTAGCTTCCCAGTGCGTGGAAGTTCTAGAACATGAGATGCTTCGATACCTGCTTAGTGAATGAATGACTTACACTGGTATTTAAAGATTCCATGTGTATGGCCTATCTTTTACCCAGGTCATTTTTAAGGGGAAAAGAGTATTTTATTATGTTATTTATATAATGGTGGTCATCACCATAATGGGCTAAAGATAAAACCATATTTAGATGTGTTGAGAGACTGGGGTCCCCTGAGCCTAGTACCACACTCAAAAAATGTTAAAGATTTATAACATTGACTGTTGTCAGAAGGATCACTTGTGACCAGTTAACCATGTCCACTGTTTCTTAAAAAACAAAACAAAAAAAGATGCAGTTACATCTTTGGTAAGGGTTCCAAAGACTATATATGATGAAATATTAGAGTAAAAATGATCTTTGAAAATTGTTTCAGTGGGTCTCCCCAAGAATACAATATACATGGTTTTATACATACTTCACCATGTCTCAATAAGTATAATGTAATTTAGTGTAATTTCCACCAGGGTTTAGTGGAAACAGTTTCCTCCATTCATCCAAACATGTTTCTTCCAAACATCCATGATGCTTCGTCTATGTCTAAGCATCATGTAAAGCAGCTGCATTTTTAGGGGTCATGTACTATAAAAAGATATTTGTTTTCTATTTCTTTGTTTTTCCTTCCAAGTGCATATAGTTGAACTAAATGGGCATTTACTACAATAGCACTGAACACATCATTGTAAAGATAATGAGTTAATTCTACAAATACTGTAAGCGAAACAGTAGTGACAAAAATCAAGAGTCTACCAATTCAGAAACAATCACAATACATCCCTGAATGTCAAGTTTCTATTAACACTTGGAAAATTGTCCCCAAATTTCCCCAAGTACCCTGTCAACTCTGCAACATCTTTTCTATAGTCTATGTGTCCATATTTATTCCTTTACACAGAAATTGTTTACCGAAAAAAAGAAGCAATTTTTTCAAAAGCATGTCTTTAAAATAAGAACAAAATCTAGAATCTGGAAAAAATACTTTCTTTTATCTGGCTACAAGTTAAGATAGTTTGTATGTTTTAAAATCATAAACGAATCTAGTTAAAACAAAAACACTACAGAAATGTAAATGCCCTCCTTGCCTTTCCCTCCCATAGACACAAAATCAATTCTACTCTTAAAAAGAAATACTCCATGTAATTACCATATGACCCACAATTTTACTCCTGGGCATTTATCCCAGGAAAATGAAAACTTATGTTCACACAAAAACCTCTACAGAAATGTTTATAAGCACTTTTATTTGTAATAGTCAAAGACCAGAAACAACCCCGAAGTCTCAACTAGTGAATGGTTAAACAAACTGTGGCACACCCATACCACGGCATACTACTCAACAACAACAACAAAAGAAACAAACTATTGACACAAACAAGTTGAATCTCTAGAAAATGATGCTGAGTGAAAGTGAATCCCAAAAGGTTATATACTGATGCCACTTATATAACATTCTTAAAAGGACAAAATTATAGGAATGGAGAACATACTAGTGCCTGCTAGGGTTAAGGAGGGGGTGAGATGGCAGAGAGGTAGGTGTGTGAGGGCAGTGTGAGGAATCCGTGTGGTGATGGCCACATTCTCTGTCTTGACTGTATCAATGTCAACACTGCAAAATGTTATTATTGGGGGAAACCAGGTGAAGTATTCAAGGATCTCTCTGTATTATTTTGTACAACTACATGTGAATCTATAATTATCTCAAATATAAAGTTTAATGAAAAATAAAAAGAAAAAAGAAAATATTCTAGGCTAATAAATTTACATTACTATAGTGAGATCTAAGCTTAAGAATTCATCCTAGCCGTTGGATGCGTCGTAAAAACTATGGATGAAGTCTATACTGTGTCACTCACAAAAGAACTCCCAGCAATTTCTACAAGTGTCATCAACATCTGTGAATCTCCCCAGTACCCTCCCTAAGGGCTGCTTCTGGCCAGACATACCCCCTCCATTCCCCCTGTTCATACCACAGAGGCTGGAGGCCATCCTGTACAGAGGAATCCTTCCCTTCTCTTATAGCTGCTATGAAGGCCACAAGAAGGACTTTCCCAATGGCAAGGTAATCTGTCGTTACTCAGGTTACCCAAATGTAGGAATTCTGTGAAAGACCTGGATGTCAATCTTCTTTACATAAATCAAACACATAACAAATGCTCTACCAGTTAAGGTAACTTTTCCTTGTATCTGAATTGAGCTAATAGATTTGTTCAAGGAGGAAATATTCTATTTCAGAAGGACTAATACGGAGAATTAGAATATACATAGGAATACCTTTCAAGTCTTTTTCCTCCCACAAATGTAATAGGGTCACATTAGAAAGTGATTTTAAAGCTAGTGTAATGATATCTGACTGTCAGAAGAATTACTATGAAGGAGAAAAGGATTTTTAACCCTCTTTTTCAGGTATAAATATTTATTCAACCCAATAAAAACATTTTAGAAAAAAGTCAACATGTAAAATTTATTTTATTTTTCCTGTACCTTGATTAAAACAAAAAAATTCAGTGATACTCTATCATACTAAACATTTTCAATAAAGATGGTGATCTAGAAGAGCTTAACCACCCTCTACATGACAACTGAGGATTGTAATTGGAAAATATTGTAGTCTGCAAATAGGAACATCCAAAACATATTTAAACCACTTGAACAGTTGATTTTTCCATGTCCTTTGCATCTAGATTGAAACAGATCACAGGAAATGTCAAAGACCGATGGCTGAATCTAAAAGAAAAAAAAATCCATTTAGTTGTCACGATCATTGTCACCATCAATCCCTAATATCTTTACTTCACTAATCACACTTAACTTTGCTATACTGCTTTATGCTTGGGAGAAGACAAATTATGAATCAATTATGCATGCTAATTTAAACTGTTACCTTTAGGAGGCATGTTAATAACTTAGTAATAGGGGTGAAGTGTTCCCTTTAACTGCTTACTTTAAAACATTTTCAATAACTGTAGCTAGGATACACTGAACATTTGCAAACACTTAATGCTACTGTCTACATAAACTATCAAATTGCCCCCCAAAACTGGTGGTACAATTCTGTAACTGGTTGAGGTCACATGGAAAATAGAATTATATGCTAATTTGTTCCTATATTAAGTTATCATAGAAGGTCAGACCAAACACAGTAAAATGAATTCTGAAAAAAAAATTAACTAAGTAGATTGGTATGTACCGTATCAAAGTAAACTGTTTATCTTAATAGACACAAATACAAGAAAGATTTTTAAAACAGGAGCATTTTCTCCTTTTCAAAAACAAATGTTTTGACCAATCCCAGGCAATGACTTGCATGATTTAAAAATACTTTATACATATAGTTTTTCCCTAAAGGAGAACAAGGTATTTCCCCCCTCAAGGGGAAAAAGAAATGGAGAAGGGCACACTACCAAAAAAAGAAAAATTTCCCCAGAAAAAGCTTTACTTTATCTACATGTTTCTTAAATTTAATTCACACAAATAGTTCTATACATGTACTATAAAATGAACATATAAGTTCGAACTAAATG